TGCCTGGCCCGAGATCATCTTAGCATTCACCTCATTGACTTTCAGCAATTCCTCTTGGTCCTTTTCGATTTCGGCATGGATTCCTCGGATATTCCCAAATAGTCCATCATAGTGCTGGACGAAAAATCTCGTGATCGACTTTTCAACCTTGGCCAGGTTTTTCTGCTTCAGGTCGACATATTTGTGGTCTTGGTGGCCGCGAACAAAGCAGGCTCCGCAAAGAATCATTCGATCGCATTGGATGCAGGAAAAGAGCTCGCTGATTTCAAAGCTTTTCGTGCAGCCGACACAATTTTTCTCTGCAACATTGAAGTGGTAATCGCCGGTTCCCGTAGCGGCTTTGTACGGCGCCCCTTCCAAGCATCGAACTTCTTTTTTCGAAACGTTTTCGACTTCGACGATGTGTTTCTGGAAGTGTTTCTTGTGCTCTTCGGCAGTGGCTGGGCAAATCGTACACTTTGCCGGGATTCCTGCCTTCTGCCGACATTTTCGGCAAGCGATCATCCGGCACGACATAAACACGGCTTGACATGTGTAGAAATCTTCGCCACAGTAGCCGCAGCCATAATATCCGAGGTCGAGTTTTGCGAAGAATTTCCGAATTTCCTCCGCATTGTACTCCAGCTTACGGTTGTAGCGTACCACGTATTTTGCGTATTGCATGCGAACCATAGCAGACTCTGGGTCGCCGATCGATGGGATCACTTTCTTGCAACAGCTCGTAAGGCAGTCCTTCGGCATCTGGCATTCCTCACACCAGCGATGTTCCTCCACGGGGCGACGGCAAAGATCGCAGTCCACGCTCCACAGCGGTCCGAGCGCATACCATCCCCCATCGGTCCTCTAAAAACAGTTAGTTGGTCCTGCGCATCTTAAGAGTTAGCCAGGGTTACCTCTAAAATCATTTTTTCAAAAATCATTACTTCTTAAAAATGATTACTTCTAAAAATAATTACCTTTAAAAGTCATTACTTCTAAAACTCATTAATTTTAAAACTCATTACTTCTAAAAATCGCTACCTTTAAAAGTTATTACTTCTAAAAATCATTACTTCTTTTTTCAATGCCCAAAATTTCAAGCAAATTTTTTGCGTTTTGAGCAATTATACCGTCGTTTGATTACTTCGAACGGTTCACAGGGCAAAGCAGAACCAAAATAATTCTTCGTATTCTATGGATTTCAAAGTTAACTGACAAAACCCGTGGGTTAAATAAAGGGCAGCTCGGCTCTGATAGAGGAACTGCGCTTTCTCTTTTAGCCAAATGTTTTCTTTGACGACCTACGGATGCATATGAAAAAAGACGCAAAACACAACCTTCAAGTTGGGTTTTTGCATCAGAGCATCGAGCGTGACGGCGCGCGTTGCCGGTGATGCAGCACAACAAGCCCGGCACATCAGGTTGTTCTTGCACAACATCGCTTGTCTAGGCGAGTTCGCTTCTAGCCTGAAGGGCCTGGAGCATTTTCCGCAATCGAAGATCTCGATGCGCATCCCAAGTCGTTTCCTATAAATTCACTGGTATTATTGGAAGAAGGAAGCTTTCAGATGAAAAGTCAGGCGGAAGAGGTTATACGAGGCTGAAAAATGGTGAATAACAGTAATGGTCGGATTAAAAAATTTAAGGCCGAGAACAGGTCGGTGCGGTCCGTCGGCTTCTGTTATCAAGATCGACCGGACTCGGGGAATGGCAGAGGGAATGGCAGGAAGCCGGAGGGGCCCCGGCGATCGATTCGGACGATCTTGCTCCGTCCGTTTGGCGCTGATGCGAGAAAATGCCATCGAAATTGCCTTTGCTTCCCTCGGGGCAGTATATCGAGATCGCTGCGAAGATGGCTAGATGTATGACGTAGATCGGAAATTTGTAATCTAGCGATCAAACTGTGCTCAATACAGATCAATAAAATATAAATAAATGCGTAGAGACAAGCGGCTCAAGGCTGTCGCGGATTTGCTAAATTGATCGTTTTAAATTTAATTATAACGTTAGGAATTTTAACAAAACAAAAAACCAAGGCTTCAGGTTTCAATAACATCGGCGGTCTAGGAATTGATCCTTGTAATGTTAAAATTTTTTGACATTGGATGCGTTTAAAAATGCTTTCAAAGAATAAACAACCAAATTGATTCGTCAACAATTTATCTAACTCGGCAAAAGTTCACGTCGGACTGACTGGGCAGAATCTAAAGAGTAGCTCGGCTAATTTTCATATGTTTTGGACCCACATTACAGCGCTTTCGAACGCGCTCATACTTCTCCGACTTCGTCCTGTCTTCACTTTCAGAAATGCAAATTCGCTCCTTTTATTTCTGCCGCCATAAATTTTTCGTGAATACGAGATTAGGCGTGGGTGAGCCGGGGGCCATTACATAAAGGGCGCGGAACTCTCGCGTTTGCTCTTTCAAGATGCGCCTCAATCTCTGTATTTTGCTCCTCTTCTTTGCAGCCGTTTCGGCAGTTGAGGTGGGTTGCGTTGACTTACAAAAATTTAGAAAACTATTTTTTCATTTACATTTGTGTCGATATGGTAGGAATAGAAAGAAAAGATAAATTTTCAGACTCGCGTGAAACTTTGCGCCGGGCAGGTATGCGCTGTCGGCTGGTTTTGCTGCATCTCTCACGTAATGGGTAAGAAAGGTTTTGCAGCGCCAGTTCTCGGCTACCCTAGACTAAAAAAACACGCTTTTCAGCGTTTTTAGAGGAACTTCCGGCTTTTACGATTTAGTTCTTGAAAACCAGCTCTGAACTGAAAACTCACCAGAAAGCTCTTGAAAACACGAGAAAATTAGCGCTTACTGATCATTTAATAACAGCTCTCTGAAGTTTTCGATTTTTTAGCCGAAAATCATCAAAACCGTAGTTATTGAAAGACAAATAAATTTCTAGGAAAACAGGAAAGTTGTAGCAATTTTTGGATTTTCTACCCGCTATTAGCGTTCAAAATTCGCGTAAAAAGCTCCTGAAGGGAAATCGGACGCCGAGAAACAGTAAAAATATCGACCACCACACTCTTGATAATTCTTGATAGGTAACGGATGCCGAAAGCAGGGCTGGATCAATGAGATTGGCTGCTGGCTGTGAAGTTGGCTTCAGTTCTACAGAATCTAAATCTACGATGCCTTGGATTTTTGTTCTAATAATGAGAAAGATTCAATCTGTGAGTCTACTACAGGGTGTCCCAAAAAAAAGCACCCCTCCGCCATTTCGCCATATCACATCCGATCGGTCCCATACTTGGCACAATGGTGTATCAGACCCTAAATAACCACAATCCTGAGTTATAGCCCGATCGCTACAGTAGTTTTCGAGTTATCGCCAAAATACTTTTTTTTACGCGATTTTTAACTGTTTTTTCGGCTATCTTTTTGGAATTTGCATCGATTTGCATCGACTTCCGGCTACGAATCCCTAATTTCGCTTGATAACGAGGGTGACTTTGGGTTACAAAATTGTTGAAAACAACGGTTATTCAATTAATTTTTATCAGAAAAAATTTCTAGGGGTAAAGAAGGCCTGCAGCTTCATTTTCACTTAATATTCGAAGGGTCAATTCCGACGAAAACCTTATGAAAAACCGATAAGAAAGTTTATTTTTGCTGTATCTCGAAGATTACTGTAGCTGGCGGGCTATAAGTCAGGATTGTGGTTATTTAGGGTCTAATACACCTCTGGTTCAATTTTGGGACCGATCGGATGTAATATGACGAAATGCGGGAGGGGTGCTTTTTTATGGGACACCCTGTACACTACTGGTGAGGCTGACAGAATATTCTAAAAATGCATGACCTTAAATTAACGATTTTAAATTGAAAACAAACACCTCATAACAGGATTTGATTAATATTCATTTTAGTAATCCTCCTAGCTGTTTTCAGATTAATTTTAAAAACAAGCAACAATATTTATACAACAACAACTCTTCGAAGCTTCTTGATCATTTCGGTAATTTCCAGCGATATGTGTTGTACAATCGAGCATGAGGCAAACAGCCCTCAAAGCACTTCTCAAAATCCTCCGCAGCCGCCCGCCATTCAGAGCCGATTTTAGCGCCGCTACCGTAATCATGGTGGTCAGGGACGCGTCTCAGCATCTCCACTTTTATTGCGAGGAAAAGAGACGCAACTCGAAAGAAAAGAGGAAAAGGCGCGCTTGCCCGGAAATTAGTCAAGCAAAACAACCATCCGATCGGGTTTGCCTACGCAATGAAAACGGATTGGAACGGCCCATCCGGTGATCGAACTCCCTTGGGCAACCGGACCGAAAATACCCCCGTAACGCTTAGCTATGCAACTTATTTGCAGGTGTTTTTGAACGGGCAAATCTGGTTAGCTGAAATTTGAAAAAACCCAACGAAAAAGCAGTGTTTCAATAATTATGGCCTGCATCTAAGTTTATTTGAAAATCGACCAACAGCCTTTATTCAGAAGCTACGCATTTCTCAACAAATTTCTCGACTATCTCCTTCAGCTTCTGCAGATTGGTCCCATACATTCTGGCATGAGGTAGATATGCCTCGAAGCACTTCTCATAATCGTCAGCAGCCGCCCTCAGCTCAGCGCAGATCTTGGCTCCGATACCGTAATCTTTCTGGCCGGGGACAAGTTTTAGGCTTTCTTCACAAACCTTGACCAGTGCCTTCTGACCGTCATCAATTTCGGCGTGTACTCCTCGAATGTTTCCATGTAGTCCGGCATAGTATTGGGAAAGGAATTCAGAAGTCGTCTTCTCCAAATTGGCCAGTTTCCGCTCCTTCAGCTCGACGCATTCATGTGATTTATGATCTTTGAAGCAACAGATGCCACACAGCGTCGCCTCATCGCAATTTAGGCAAAGGAAAACGTCGTGGATCTCGTAAGTGCGTTTACAGTCCTTGCAACTGGCTTTGAGATCTTCGGGATTTAATTTAACCTCCGGTCGGTCTTGTAGAACATATGGAACATATGGTACGTCTTCAGCTTTGGTTTTTAGTTGGGTTTCGATCTCTATCGGCTTTCGATTTATTTCGATAACATACTCGTAATCCGCTTCTTCCAGAGCCTGAACACGGACGGCCTCTTGATACTCTCGAATAACTCGCCGATACTTTCCTGTAATTTGGATCCGTTCTCCCTGACAATCATCCTCGTGTCGGAATCGTTGAGAGTGGTAGCAGTCGCTGCACGTCAGTTGCTGGCAGCAGTCGTAGTGAATCGCTTTTTGCTTGCCTTTTTCCTTATATGCTCGATCGCAAATGTTGCAGGCCCAGGGTGTCAGTGGTCCGTCGATCTGCCATCCTGCGGTGATGCGCTAAAAAAATTAGTATTGAGCGATTTATCATCTGGTTATTAAAGTCCCTGGAAAGATGCTGTTGGTAAAAAAAGCAAAAAACCGCCATGCACCAGGCGGGGGTCGAACCAGGGACGCAGCCCGATGCTAGGCAACACACCACGATGCCAAGCGACCGGGTGTCGCGAAAAGGGCTTCAAAACTCATTGGGACTGCGCTCCGACCGTTTTCGCTTTTCTTGCCAGAGCATGCGCCGAGATTTCGCTATGTATAAAAATCACGAATTCGGGATGAATTACGTCGATAGTAGTGCCCCTGTGGTCCCTCACCCCTCCCTGCGGGCGCTCGACCATCCTTCCAAGGGTCTTTTTGATCGGGTAAAACATATTTTATGCCCATTTGGAAAATGTTCCTGACAGCTTTAGAGAACGGGGGGTGGGGCGGTTAGCAGGAGGGCTAGATCGCAGGAAAAATCAGGAACGGACCAAAAATTTTTTTTAAGCCGCAGCTGCATTCCGCCGCTTAACTAACTAAAGTCAAAGCGCGCAAATTGGCTGATTTCGAAAACCGGATAGCTCACATAGCTTCCCGCTTTTTTGCAGTTTTCGACCTGGATCAAAATCACAGTTTTTGAAAACTTCTTTGCGCCACTAACTGTATAATTGTGTAACTATGTCTATAGTTGCAACTGTAAAAGTAAAGTTTTTTACATAGGAACATGAAAATTTTATCATTTGAGGGCAAGAATAAGCTTGAAAACATCATAAATTCGGATGCTGGCCCGCTATTCGCTAGATATTGTTCGATAGCGGACAGTGTTCCTTTTCTATGATCACCCAGTTACACTAAATACATACCTTTCATCCTTGGCCTCTAAACCCGTTACTCAGTCAGTTTTGAATTTTAAACTGATAAGAACATACTATTCATGCGACAATTCACGATTTTGACAACATTTTATAGTAAAACTGTCCAATAGCTTCTTAAATATAAGTCCACAGCAAATTTGGAAAACGGATTCGGATTCAACGAAAAATTCTGAGCAAAATAGCCTCGGTCCCATACCAGAAGGTTACCCTAAGTGAAAACACTTTACAGTAAGCTGTACTTTATTCATCTCTAAAACGCTTCTAAAACGCTTCATCTCTAAAACCTACCGTAACCGGTTGACCCAGCAGCATTTCGATGATGTAGATGGCCGATCTCGGGACTTCCAGCACATTCGGAGCGCATTTCGAGCAGGAGAGATCCCCGAATGCGCAAACCGGACTTGTCGGAAGGCCCGGCTCGGCGGAAAATGTTACCAGACAACGCGAACAGTCGAGGCAGGTCAGTGGCGGCATTACCTAAAATACTTTCAACGTATATTTGTGAGTTTCATGAAGGTTCAGTTTTCAGAAAATGCGGCGCAAATACAAAGATTATTCGAGGGCCCTCAACCGGTAAATTTTTTTGATTTGCATGCACATTTTCGAAACTGATTTTCTGAAAATCCGATTTCCGAAATGTCATATTTCCGAACAGCACTTTTTGGAAAATCATATTTTTTTATTTGGACACCATGTACAGGGTGTCCTAAAAAACGCCCCTCCGGCATTTCGCCGTATTGAATTCGATCGATATCAAAATTGGACCAGGAGTGTATTGGACCCTATATAACCACCGTCCTGAGTTTGAGCCGGATCTCTAAGGTGGTTCTCGAGTTATAGCCAAAATACTGTTTTTTATGCAATTTTTGAGTGGTTTTCTGCTCTTTTTGGACTTTGCATCAATTTGCACCGACTTCCGGCTCGGAATTCCTCACTTCGTTTAAGGTACGGGTTGAATTTTGCTTGTAGAAAACGTTTAGATAAACATTTAAATTTTTATTAGAATAAAATTTTTAAGGGTAAAGCTAGGGGAATATTAAGTGCAAAAGAAGGCTGCCCGCATCATTTGCACTTAATATTCCCAGGGTCAACTCCGATGAAACCCCTATGAAAAAGAATTTTCAGTTTATTTTTGTTGTATCTCCAAAATTACTGTAGCTGGCGCTCTATAACTTAGGATTGTGATTATCTAACGTCTGATGCACCTCTGGTCCAATTTTGGGACCGATCGGATGTAATACTTCGAAATGCAAGAGGGGGCTTTTTCGGACACCCTGTACATGGTTTTCGTATACAGGGGTGTACCAAACAATATGTCCGATTTTCCGATTTAGATAACTGTCGAAACCTCGCAAAATGGCGGGCAAATACACACTTTCGTTTTCTAGATTAGCTAATTTAATTGTGCATTTTATGACTAAAAACCAGACATGGCAATTCCGATCGGCCGAGCCGCGCGGCCCGGCCGGCGGCCTAATTTCCATAAAAAACGCGGCCCCCTACGAGCCGCCGTAATTAGTTACTTCCGGAAGCCGCATTTTCATCGCGGCTCGGCCGGGCCGCTGCGGCCAAGCCGCAAACCGGAAGTGGCTCATTTACATACCAAAAATCCGTGAATTTCATACGAAATGGCAATGGAAATGAGAAAATTAAGGTTGCCGAGTATGGATATTCCACGCTAGCAGGCTGAATACGCATTGCATCTCTGATTTACGTGCCGGAAGTACTCAAAACTCATTTGGATGCGGCCTCAAAAGCCGCGCGCCTTGGCCGCCGTGCGGCCTCAAAACGCAAAAAAAGCCGCGGCCGCGCCGGAAGTGCGGCCAAGCCGCGCGGCCCGGCCGCATTCTAATTTTTGCGGCCGAAAAAGCCGCGCGACTCGGCCGATTGCCATGTCTGCTAAAAACTGTGAATAGGGTTGCCTTATGCGAGATCTGCAGGTTAATTGCAATATGGGCAAAGAAACAAAAACTACTTTACTAGCAAAACGTTGAATATCAAGGGAATGACAAATCATTAAAGAAAACCAAACGCGTCTATTTTCTCGTCTTTTCAAGGGCTTTCGAATTGTGCAGGAATCATCCGCTAGCGGGCTGGGGGGGGGGGGTACCTTTTTTTTGGGACACCCTGTATAGTGGCGGAGAGGGAACGCTTTTCATTATTTTTCTTTGCAGTTCGGGCTCATTATGCGCATTCAAACAATTTCAAGGGGTCACGGTGTTGTGGTGTCAGACAGGGGCCAGGCTTGAAAAGTCGCGTCGCGGCTTTTCAACCCTGATAATAGAAAAAATACTATCGTCTTAACCTTAATACATAATTAGGGAAGCAAAGATGGTGAATAAGAATGTGTTATGCGCAGGCGCTGGCCGCAAGTCACTAATTTTTGAGCTTTGTGCATTTAACCATGTGGTAAATGTCAGTCAACGAGGTCAGCTTTGCTGACGCGAATAAAATCTGGTAAGTCTTCGATTGGGTACTGGGTTTTTGGGAGAGCAATAAAATGTGAAATAGGCGAAAAAGGGGAATCTTGCAAACTGATAAGGGACTCCTATAGTGGGTCGGAGAAGCTCGTCTGAATTTAAAGGCCCAGGTATCTGTTAAAGGCTCTCTAAAAGGCGTGTAAACTAGCACTATTGGTTTTCTAAATGAAGCTTTTAATTCCCAAATTTTAGGAACGATTTTGGGACACATGTACTTGGCATGCATGTTGATTGTTGATCGCATGCTTACAGGAATGATGTAAAAAGCAAGCTTATTGGAATGGGGTAAAAATGGTTCCGTTCCGAGCTTCCTGCGGATCGCTAGTGGGCAACTTTTTCGGGGCACCGGTGCCAAAATTGACAAAAGTAACCTCATACTACAGGGTGTCCAAAAAATGGTTCCGGACTTTGGGCTCGAATAACTTTTGATAGAAGAATATTTCACCATGCGTCCATGCCAGAATGCTTAAAAGTGTCTGGAACTCCGATTTAGATCAACTTGATTTTTTCGATTTTCGGCGACGTACCCATGCAAATGACACCCGAAAACTGTGCGTTCAACGGGAACTTAATTTGCATTTTTCTAATTTTCTTGTGGTTTTTGTCGTTGCTTTTGATTTTTGTTGTGTCAGTTAATGTAGGTAATAGATACGCACCTGAAAAGTTTAGGAATTTTTGAAGGTCTACTTGCCAAGTTATGTAGAGCTGAAGTTTAATATGGAGAAATTCCGTAATACATTCTTGGCCTTGATAAATGGACAAAAAACTTATTCAAAAGATACGCATGTAACAAAGAACCTTCGACTTTTTCCTTCAGATTCTGCAGATTCGGGCCATAAAAAGCTTAAAGCCAACTGTAAATCTTAGTGGCGTAAAGTCTTAGAACTTTATGAGACTAAATTCTTAAAAAGTAAAAAATTAAAAAAAGGCAAGCTCTGTGGTGCGTTTTGGGTCCTGGTAAATAAACCAAAACCATTTATTCAGAAGCTACGCATTTCCCGACAAAATTCTCAACTTTCTCCTTCAAATTCCGCAGATTCGTACCATACATCCTAGCATGGGGTAGGTACGCCTCGAAGCACTTCTCAAAATCGTCAGCAGTCGCCTTCAATTCCGCACAGATCTTGGCACCGATACCGTAATCCTTTTGACCGGGGACGAGTTTTAGGTTCTCCTCACAGATCCTCACGAGTGCTTTTTGGCCGTCATCAATATCAGCATGCATGCCTCGAATGTTTCCATGTAGTCCGGCGTAGTGCTTGGACAGAAATTCATTGGTCGTCTTCTCCAAATTGGCTAGCTTACGCCCCTTCAGTTCAACGCATTCATGTGATTTATGATCCTTGAAGCAGCAGATGCCACAAAGCATAGCCTCGTCACAATTTAGGCAAAGAAAGACGTCGTCGATCTCGAAAGTGCGCTTACAGTGTTCGCAGGTCGCTTTCTGGTCTGCGGGGCTCAATTCAACTTCCGGTTGGGCTTCTAAAGCACATGGCGTTTCGGCGGATTTTACTTCTGGTTCCGGTTGGTCTTGGTGCGGTTTGGTTGTCGACTGTGTCGAAGCATCGATATTGTATTGATTATGTGCTTCTGACTTTTCCGGAAGAGAAATCTTAGCGCCGCCGACGCTTTTAGAATCAGTTTGTGGAGCTGGTTTTGGGGCAGCAACCTCGAAATCGTAGTCATCGTAGAAAAACAACTGCGATGTCTGAGCAAGTGTGCTGAGGTACCCTTGCATGCCCAGGGCGTGTTGAAAGTAAGGTCCGTCTCGATGTACTTCCCCCCCTCCAAGACAGTCCCAACCATGACGGCATCGTTCGTTATCGTGACACTCGACACAAACAAACCGCTGGCAGCAGCTGTAGAACACCATGTTTTGTTTCACGTTTTCAGTAAATACTTCAGGACAACCGGCGCACCTCCAGTATGGTTGCTGAAAGATATTGGCATTTAAGATATATAGACCTTAACTATTTCCATCCGTTTTACCACTGTTTTCTAAAACTCCTAATAATATCTGGATAACACATACCGTATGTTCTCAAATATATCTCCGGGGTTTTACTTTTTCAATTAGCTCAGGGGGAGGGGTGTATAAATAATAGAGGGTTCGTGATTTTGAGCAATTAGAACGATTTTTCGCAGTTCAAACTGCCGGCAACCACTCAGGAACACAGTTCAAAGCTTAATCACAAACCTTTTTGGCATTTTACTTCTTAAAGCCAACTTCGAAGTAAAAAGGTTTTTGGGGGCTTATGATAAGGGAGGATCTACATTGGCAGAGATACGGTATATAAGTTATTGGCTATTTGTAAAAGCTCCCGCTTTCTATGTAAAACCTATACCTATGTAACTGTATGTTTCTATGTAACCACTAAGCCTCTGTGTCAAAAAAAAACGTACGATCTCGGGCTTGTTCCGGGGCATTCCGAGGATGAAGATATCCGATCTCGAAGAGCCAAATCAGGTAGGCCGAGGGAGTTCCACCTGAAAAAGGTTCAAGGTTTTCAGACCTTGGGGATGGGAAAGAAGGAAACGAAAAGCGGTTTGTAGCAAATCGCTAGCAACAAGAACGGATGCGAATATACATAACGTAGCAAATTATGAATGACGCGCTTTCTTGATTGAACAGATGGCTTAACCGGTGACCTTGCAAGATGCCGACAATATCAGTCTGATATCAAATCGATAAAGGCCTATTTCAAGAGTTCTAGCGCCATGAAGCCAAAATCCTGAATCGAAAAAATCAAGATAGATTGGTTGCGTTGATACGATGCATTTTCGCTATTTTTAGTGTTATGGTATATATTATCATCCAACAAAACATTTTAT